CAGTGGTCTCAAAATAACAAAAAATACAGTACAATAAAAAAAATCACTCTAAAACTTCTCAAAAAAAAATGTTAAGTAAGCACATTTCCTTAATTATGAACTATAAAATTTAAAATAGTATTAAAAAACCTCTCAGAAATATTTAACAAATGTAGCAACTATACGCCGTTTTTGTCTACACTGAACTCTCTTTCAAAATGTATCAAGTCTGTTATACATTAAACAGAATATATTGCCTACCTATTGGCGCAGGTCCATTAGGCTTAAAATAAAACTGAATTAAATTGCAAACTATTATTTTTTTAGGCCATGGTAAAAGAGACAAGATTAATTTCATCGTCATGCCACATTTTTGTTACATTTTATATTGTAGAGATTTTTAAAATATATTATAGCACTTTTTTAATAAGTTTTCACCGTACTTAGTCAGACTGTTTGCGAGGTATCATGAATGTATTTTTTTATATCATTGCTATAGTTTGGCGCTGTGTTATTGTTTTTTTTTATTTTTATTTGACTTTGCCGTTCGCCGCAGTGCCAAAAACTGCAATTCATATGCAGCAGCCCCGCCCCTGCGGCGGGCGCCCCCCGTCTGCCGCCCATGGATGCCCTACCGGCGGGTTTTCATGTTTCTCTTTTTTTCGTTAGCACATGTCGTTGCATATTAATTTTCGTATGCAAGTGTGCACACATTCATGTGCGAGTTGCTTTTTACACTTTTTACATTTTTTACTCGCTTTCGGCTGCTTCTTGGTGAACTGCATTTTTTTGCGGGCATGCATTCGCAATAAAGAAGAACATATTAATTCTGACTTCTGGTTATTGCTGCACCCAGCAAAAGCAGGGCAAAAAAGAAAGCCGTGGGCCAGTGCAAATAAATTGCATATGCAAAATATTTGGGCGGGTTTCCGCATCGCTCTGTTTTTCACGTCTGTTGGCGTTGGCCATTCAGAATATATTTTATTAAGCCGCTTTTGGACAGCAATTAATTTTCTTATAGGCCGAATAGAGGCGTGGAAAACTTGTTGTTCGATCAACCACAAAATGCAGTCGTTTTTTTTTAGTTGATTGAGTGTAACTTGTTTTTAACCGACAACGGTGCGTGTACGTGATGATGTGGAATTACCTAATAATTGAATGGATGCGTTTTCATTGAGCAAAGGCGTTCGTGCCACTCGAAAACATTTAATAAATAGCGATCGAAGTTAATTAAAAATTTATCGAATATCTTTTGCATTTATTATTTATGTTTGCGTACACTAAATTCAGCTTTTTATTCCTGCCTTTTACCTCTGATAAGCAAACAATTTCACCAAATATTTGCCTTCGTTTCGAGAAAAGTATGTCATAAATTTTGTTTTCACGCTGTCAAAGTACACAGCGCCAAAAATGCCAAAAAAGACAATAAAATGTATTTCATGACACACTTTTCCGCACCGGGTATTAAGTAAATATTTGCGCCTGCTATTTGTTAACCCAAAATGGGGGCGAAAATGTGCGTTGGTTAAAAGTTAATTACCCTACGAAAACTTGTTACCATGTAAGTTTTTTGCCAGACGTTTTGGGTTCTAATAATACTTATATGTATTTTTAACGGGCATCAACAAGAGATCTTAACACAATTCAGTACAATAAAAATTATTTATAGCCCATTCCGGTTTTTCTAGTTATTTACGGTTAAATTGTAAAACTGCAAAATACTATTACAGGAACATTTTGGTAAATAATTTGTATGATCATAAACGTCTTTGTAAACTTTTTTCTTAAGTTCGTATTTTAAATTATATATAAAGGTACTATTCCAAACCGAAAACTTAAAAATACTTTTAGGGAAAAAAAGCCTAATTTCTCCTTTAAAAGTACATGTGTAAGTGCTATCGCTTGACTTATCGATTTCCTGAACTGCATACAAATGAGTGGGAATGGCCTGTAAAGTTTGAAGCTTTTACTTGTCATAACGGTAAATGAGCCCCTCTCTCTTTTCGCTTCTCTCTTTAGTGCAGTTACCCCCGAGTTATCTGTCTGAAGACCCATAAACACGCACATTCCGGTACTTCAGATAAAGATTTATATGTTTTCGGGCGAAAGGCATTACAAATACTGCATTTTCCGTGCAAGTATTTCGAGTATTTCGTAATGCCCAAGAACGATAAAAAGTTTAAGGCGGCTTAAGTAAGCCCAAGAACCCCTTAAAACCCCCCTTCAAAATCCCCCTTTTCCACTGATGACGACACACATTCTAGCATAATTGAATATCTGTCTGCCCGCTGACTTGCAATAAAAGAGAGCCGCTCTCTTCGGTCTTAAGAGAAGCCCCCCAAAAAGAGCGAGGGAGCAGAGAACTTTCTTTTCGATTTTGTTTTTGTTTTCTTTTTCTTCGCTCGCCGAGAATGCTGGTGGCATCAGTGTGTGTGTGTGAGATATTGCCGTGTGGGAAAAGTTCATTGACACTTGAAAAAACATTCAGTCACTCACTCACACAAAGCAAGTCGGGTTACTCACTCACTCACTCATCATCTGTCACACATTTCTCCGATCCGAAAAAAGCGGCAGCGCTTGGCACATTTTTCAAGCTGCGCTTGTGTTGGTGTTGCTTTCTGTTGTGTTTTGATTGTGCTCCCGCTCGCTGCCGCCGTCGCACTATGGGGCATTTGCCCACATTTGGTGGCCGAAACCCATTTTTTAAAAGTCGTTAAAAAATTTTTTTTTTAATCGCAATGAGTTAAGATAACATTGAGGTAAAATGTTACGTACTTAAAATTTTAACAGACCGCACCACTGTTAAGATATCAGCTGTCAAAGTCAGCTGTTTTTTAACAGAAGCACATGCTGTAAAATCGTTTGTATTTGTTCAAACTTTAAAATGTTTAAAAAGCGCATTTAAAACCAATTTTTGTAAAATGTGTGAATGGAAGTCGATTCAGAATGGTTTGGATTATGTGTTTGTGAGCTTAAATTATAAAAATTGATTGTGGCGTCCCTATAATCTTGTGTAAGTTCTAACCTCAAAAAATTGAAACGTAGTCTTACATTTTTGTTTTTAAATGGAGCAACAAAGTGAGTCCAGCGGAGTCCAGCTCTAAAACTTGTTTTATTTTGTAGAGTGATCAATTCTCCTTATACTCAGTTAATATAAAAGTGCACTTTTGCGCACTTTCTTCAAAATTTAACTTTTAAGGTGCTAACCTAGCAATAGAAGTTTAACACAGTTTGAGAGAAGACATGGCACTTGGCTAAGCTCGCAAACATTTGTTACTATAAAAAACGCTAAGAACCAAGTGGACCATAAAAAATAAGTCAGAAAAACATAAACATATTAACTAAAAGTAAAGTTTTATACTTTTTTGTTACAGGGTCTTAAAAAGTGTTCCTTAAAATACAAAAAAAGTCGATATAATTATTTAAAAAAAGTTAGGACAACGAATTTTTTTTTTAGTTGTTTTGTTTAATAATTCTAGTTAGAAAATAAAAAAAAAATTTTTTTTTAATATTATTCATTAAAAAAAAATTTTTTTAACTAAAAAATGGGCGGAGCCACGCCTATTTTTCTTAAAATACATGCCTTATTTTATTATTAACTCGAATCAAAAAACAGATCCCAAAAATGTTGATTAGTTTTCAAGTTATTAATTAATGTCACAAAAACTGGTCATTTGCCCCATAGTGCGTCGGTGTCGCTGCCAGCAGCGCTGCCACTGCGGATTCTGCTGCTGCTGCGTCTGTGTTTGTGTGCGTTCGGTTCAGCGCGCATCTTTCATCCTCGTGGGTAAATACAAATACAAATACGGCAGGCAAAGCGCCTAGATTACACAATACCGCCGCCAGACGAGACCAATCTGCCCGCTCGTCCTCTCTCCCTCGCTCCTTCTGGCTCACTCGCTCTTTCGCACTGGCTTTTAAGTCCAACACTGGGCTGCAAAAGTTTTGGGGACTTCACCCCAGACTTCTGGGATAAGTGCAGTAGTTTCTGCTCTGGTTACCTTAATTTTGTGGCGTTTTTTTTCTGTTTAAAATAAAGAAAAACAATACTATGTTATTGTGAAGTAGATTAATATACATATGTCATGCAATGGAGTTTATATATTTTATTATTGCATCCATGAATATTAAACTAAAGTCTTGATCAACAGTGTACAAAAATATTTTCTGAGAAAATAATTAATATGGACATATGTACATATGTAAAAGAAATGAAATAAATAACAATGATCATTTTCTTTCATTTATTTGCTTTATCAAAGAACTGTTCAGAAATTCGTAAAAAAAACGGCAAAAAGATACAGGCAGTTAAAAAAAATACAGTTTTGCTCACCAGTGTAAATTGGGGCAAATTTTAATTCTCTCAGTGAACCAGTTCTCAGCGATGCGATGCGATGCACTGCTGTTGATCAGGAAATTGCATCACCGCTGAAAGGATTGCGGATTGCAAGGGAAACCCGAACAGCTGTCGCACTATCTCCTCTCTTCCTCTTTCTCCCCTCTGCAAATCCCCCCTCCCTTTTGCACAGCCTATATATTCTTTATTGTCTGGGCAGACAAGTGGCTTAAGGTACCGCCTGCATTGTGCCGCATGGATAATGCATTACAATATTGCGCAATAGTTCTCTGGGGTCGAAGTGGCTTTGTCTGAACTCCGACAATGGATAGGCTGGCATCGGAAAATCCCTCGATTGTAATTGCGGGGCGTTTTCGATCTGAAATTACTTGGGGCTCTTAACTTTAAGATGCAAGTTGTATTTTAGTTCTGTTTACACATATCTGCAAAATACTATGAGAAATAATAAGAGCATAGAAAATAATAAAAAGATACTTTATAAATCCAGTTTTCATACAGAACACATAAACATAAACGCTTAAAAATATAAAATATATTCTTTGATTCTTAGCTTTTGAATAAATATTATGTTTTACCAATCTATGCTAATAATGGTTTTTATATTCACATATTTAATTGATGCTGACTCACTGCTATAACCCATTGTTTCCCCTCTTTTTTGCAGCTCAAATTGAGATAATTCCATGCAAAGTCTGCGGCGACAAGTCATCCGGCGTGCACTACGGCGTGATCACCTGCGAGGGCTGCAAGGGCTTCTTCCGGAGGTCGCAGAGCTCCGTGGTGAACTACCAGTGTCCGCGCAACAAGCAATGTGTGGTGGACCGCGTTAATCGCAACCGCTGTCAATACTGTAGACTGCAAAAGTGCCTAAAACTGGGAATGAGTCGTGATGGTCTGTAGCAAGTGTTAGCCGAAGCATCCTGGGAACTTTTTTCAGGAAACTAAACTGAATTAATGAAATAATACTTAATTTTTAAATTGGTTATTTAATTTGGTTGATAATAAGCGGTCTGTAGTAAATATAGTTCGTGTCACATTTTAAATTTTTAATTTTAGTAAGCTTAAATTTGGGCTTCAAAAATATTTAAAGTTTCTTAATGAATTGATTTTTAATTTTAAAACATATTAAAGAAACTGAAAATTTAATTTATTTCGTTGTTTTTTTTTATTTTTTTTTTTATTTTTGGTTTAACACTTATAAATATTAATCTTAGTTTCATTGGTAGCATATATCAAGATATTTTTATATTTGTGAGTCTTAAATCGATATTTCTTATTATATGATCCTTAAGACATAGGTTTAACTTATTAAGTTATATTTTGGGAAAACTAATATTATAATCACCATATTGGCTTTAAGTTTTCAAATTTATTTTATTAGCCCAATTTATTTTCCTGACTTATCTCCGGATGCCAATGATAATAACCGCACTGCATTAATGTATTAATCCCGCCCCCTCTTCGCCACACCCCCTTTGCAGCTGTAAAGTTCGGCAGGATGTCCAAGAAGCAGCGCGAGAAGGTCGAGGACGAGGTGCGCTTCCACCGGGCCCAAATGAGGGCCCAAAGCGATGCGGCACCGGACAGTTCCGTTTACGATACACAGACGCCCTCTAGCAGCGATCAGCTGCATCACAACAACTACAATAGGTGCAGTATAACGGATATAATCGATATGTTGATTACCCCCTTGATGATCCGAAAGGAATCAATCTATTTTCCCCCATTTGACTTTGATCTTCATTTTCCCCAATTTCCTTTGCTCTTCTCTCCCTTAATTGCCATCGATGATACCGACCCGTAATGCCCTTCTTGTCACTCAGCTACAGCGGCGGCTATTCGAACAACGAGGTGGGCTACGGCAGTCCCTACGGCTACTCGGCCTCCGTGACGCCACAGCAGACCATGCAGTACGACATCTCGGCGGACTACGTGGACAGCACCACCTACGAGCCGCGCAGTACAATAATCGATCCCGAATTTATTAGTCACGGTGAGTTTTCGAGGATTACCCCAAAAAATTTCACTTAATTACCCGATTAGGGAATTTGGACATTAATTACTATTAGTCAAAAAGCTTCAGATTAGACTTTCCACCAAATCAATACGGGATTTATTAGGCAAGGACATTGACATTATGAACTAACACCTCGACCATATTGATATACCTGTATTTTACTAAACCAAAAACACTGATCCGCCTAGAAGTTCTTAAAAAGGGACTAATATCTGATTTGTTTTTAATACGTTTATCTGTGTATAGTAATTTAGAAAAATTACTCCTTTAGTAAAAATGGGCTTAAAGATATTTGGACTTAGAGTATATTATAAAAAACTCTGTCAAAGAATTTCTAATAATAAATTATTACTAATATAAATGAATACATATTTGGATTGTTCAATGTCATATTGTTTTTAAAAATGATTTTTTAAGGATGTACACAAATGTGGCATAAGAACCTTTAAAATATTAATATATGTATTTAAATTCATATTCAGTATTCATTTAAAAATAATTTGTTTATTTTTATTAAAATCTTATTCATAAATGTATGTATAATCTATAATATATTCCTATATCCCTTTAGCGGATGGCGATATCAACGATGTGCTGATCAAGACGCTGGCGGAGGCGCATGCAAACACAAATACCAAACTGGAAGCTGTGCACGACATGTTCCGAAAGCAGCCGGTGAGTAATTATCGAATTACCCCAAAAGTATGCCAGAAATAATAAAGACTTTCATTTAATTTCTCGCTGTGTAGGATGTGTCGCGCATTCTCTACTACAAGAATCTGGGCCAAGAGGAACTTTGGCTGGACTGCGCCGAGAAGCTTACACAAATGATACAGAACATAATCGAATTTGCAAAGCTAATACCGGGATTCATGCGCCTCAGTCAGGACGATCAGGTGAGTAACTACTATATAATAATAATTATATAATTTATATAACTAAATACATTGTTAATAAATACCTTTATTTTATTTTAGATATTATTGCTGAAGACGGGCTCCTTTGAGCTGGCGATTGTTCGCATGTCCAGACTGCTAGATCTCTCACAGAACGCGGTTCTCTACGGCGATGTGATGCTGCCCCAGGAGGCATTCTACACATCCGACTCGGAGGAGATGCGTCTCGTGTCGCGCATCTTCCAAACGGCCAAGTCGATAGCCGAACTCAAACTGACTGAAACCGAACTGGCGCTGTATCAGAGCTTAGTGCTGCTCTGGCCAGGTAAGATATACTTTTATTATATTTACCCAACCTTTTAATCAACTTATTTCCTTATTAGAACGCAATGGAGTGCGTGGAAATACGGAAATACAGAGGCTTTTCAATCTGAGCATGAATGCGATCCGGCAGGAGCTGGAAACGAATCATGCGCCGCTCAAGGGCGATGTCACCGTGCTGGACACACTGCTGAACAACATACCCAATTTCCGGTAGGTCAATCAGGGATAAAAAAAAGGGCTAATCTATTGATTATTGACTTAGCCCTACTTAACAAAAAAATAGTGAATTACTTGGTTTTCAGAATATTTATAAAATTAATTCAATTGTTAACATGTACACAGACTTCTTCAAAATCTTAAAAACTAGAAATGAAAATAAAATAATTTCAGCATTTTTTAAAAACTCACTAGATAACTAATAAGCAGCTCAATTTATTTAAAAAACTCGAAACGATATTTCGATTTGGATCAATAAATAAAAAAAAAAAATACTTTACCTTATAATCCTTTATTAAAAATAAACATCTCTGTTAGATTTCATAAGAAAAGAAAGCATTTATCCAAAAGATAGCATATAAAGGTTTATAAGAAGAACTAGTATTCCTTATGTATGTATTAAAGTTCTTCCTTCTTCAAGTCAATTTGAACACCTACCATATAAGAATAAGAATATCTCTAAATATCCGAAATACTATTTGTGTTAATAATAACCAACTTCCAATTTAATTTTTCAGCGACATTTCCATCTTGCACATGGAATCGCTGAGCAAGTTCAAGCTGCAGCACCCGAACGTCGTTTTCCCGGCGCTGTACAAGGAGCTGTTCTCGATAGATTCGCAGCAGGACCTGACATAACAAGAGCAGGCGACTCCGTTCCTGGAGACGAGCGCGGACGAGGTTGCCGAGGAAGCGGCTGCCGCCGGGTGTGTCCTGCCGCCGGTGGCGCCACCTGCCGGCCAGCAGCCAACGCTGCTCGAGGACTGAGGATGCGGCAGGAAGCGGCAACAATAATAATTATTTGAGTAAACACACACTGCACACGGGCTGCAGGAATACAAGAACTTTATCATGATTTAAGCTAGCATACAACCAAGGATGTGATCCTCGCCAAGGACTCACTTAAAAAACAAAAAAGAACTCTATCTATATACATATATATATTATATATGACAGAGCGGATGACGCAAAAAGGGAAGGGAAAATATTTCAAAAATATTGTTAACTCAGTTAAGACTTTTGCTTCGTAGAGAACCGAAAACGAAACCGAAACCGATAACGATTGCATTTCGAGCAAGGGGCATCAAACTCTGATTTTCGAGGTTATACTATATGTGTATGTAACTACCCAACTTTTCATATCCGAAAAACCCGAGCAGATCAGATCGACTAAGTACTTAAAAACCGCGCGAAATTCTCTACACTGCATAACTAAATTTTAGAACTTATGATCCCCCAAGAAAAACAAAAAACTTCAGTTCAGTTAACCCCCGTTAATCCCGATTTCGATTCCGATCCCGCCTAGGTTGTCTTTGCCTTACGTTGTAACTAAAGTATGTGTATTATATATACAGCTACAGGATGTATGTATAACTATATCTTATCGGTTATATAAACCCCCAACAACAATATTTCTTTGTAAACAACTAAATCGAATATCTCGGAAAATGTGTTCTTATAATTATATTGATTAATGCAATTACAATATATTTACAATTTACCGTTACGTTTTTACATTTTACATAAGACGATGAGGAGGAAACAGATGATTAAGGATTAGAAAGCGAAAAACATAAGGAAAAGTTATAGGAGAGTTTAGCAGTTAAAAAGTGAGCGAGAAATCGAAAGAAAACCAGAAAATTTCAAGCAAGCACATAAAAGTATGCAATATTTTGTTTAAAAACAACTTTTTATTAGTTTCTTAAATATAACATAATTACGTACATACACACACATTTATATATATATAGGGCTATATATATCTATATATATACATGATAGACAAATCCCAATCCGGTTCCAAGGTTTAGTAAAAATAAAGAGAAATAAAACGAAAAACAAAAAACTTTTGATATGAAATCCTACGCATAATTACAAACTTTTATTGTTTCTAAGACTTAAAGTTAAATAATATGAAAATGAAAACCAAAACAGACTGACGGACCGACCCCGACAGCATGCCACGCCCCCCTCACCCCGCCCCCGCCTCCTTCCTCCGCAAATCCTGGCAGAAAATTAAACAAGGAGCTCGCCACATAAGTCGAGTAATAAATCTTCAAAAAATAAATAAAGACAAGCAAACGGCAACTTTTTTGGTTGATACATTTAAATATATACAATTATATAACTGACTGACTATACAAAGACGTTACACAACACACACACGCATACACACACATACACGCATATACACACATGCTTACATTACATAAATTAGTTAAAACTTAGAGTAAACGAAACAACAACAAACAGATTGGATAGTAGGTGATAATTGGTGTGTCTTAAAAAAAACCTTAACCCCTTCCCGCCCCGCCCATTTGCTTATTACCCCATTTGGCCCCCGAAAGCCCCACATTTTTACTAAATTTAAAGCTTAATCAAAATAATTTTTTGGTAATTAATCAAGAGGAAATTTCAGCAGGCAGGCATAATTATTAATTAACATTAATTATAGCAAGGAAAATTATAAATAAAATGTATAAAACAAAACTAAAAAATCAAATAAATTACATTTTGCGAATTCCACACTGAAAGAAATTCATTATTTCGCAAGTTCTCTCGATAATTCTTTACCTGAATCCGTGCGAGAAATATTTACACTAGCTAACTTAAAAACTGGGACGAGGACATCAATATTTAAATTTAGAAAAACAAAAACAAAACATCTATGTTAATGTAATCGATCGATTTGGACATATTTAAGTTCGACATTTTTGGCCTTACAAGAAAAACAAAAACAAAAAGAAAAAGAAACCTAAAGTACTTTATATATATACAAACCATATATACAATATAGAGAATACAAAACTAGTTTTAATTTATACAAAGCAAGGGAGCAGCTTTCAAACTCAAAACAAGAATATCCCCAAAAAAAACAAAAAACTTTGTTAAAAACTACCCATAATAAAGAAAATTAATTAAACAAACCGACGACACAAAGTTAATCTATAATATTAATTGAAGTTAAGTTGGTTTGAGTGGACGATGGCAAGAACATAAATGTATCTACAAATGATATATGTATTGTTAAATTTGTATGCTAAGTTTTTAGTGAGAAGAACGGTTAAATTTTTAAATAATAACAGGCGATCGCGACTCGACAAGGTGTAAAATGAGTAAATTTAAATTTAAATTTAGCATATATACGGCATAAATATTATGTTACGATATTTACATTTATATAAAACAGTAAAACAAAAACAAGAGAAACCAACAAAAAATCAGAAATCCCACATAAATGAAATAAAACGAACAAAATATATAAACTGACAAATGGGAATTCTGAATCTGAAAAAAAACAGCAAACCGAAAAAGGTAAAAAATTAATTATACAAAAACAAAAAACTTATAAAGAAAAGAAGGCAAATTATATATTATATATATGATTAAGTAGCTTTAGGCCGACTGTTGCACATATACACACACATTTCACTTCAGACACACTCACTCACACACACACACTTGCTAAAAGGAAAAGCTGCCGATGACAACTACAAATGATCTATTGCAAAAATAGCAGCGTTCATACACATATTTACATAAAAACATTATTTTTTACGGTGCACAAAAAGCAATACTAAGAAGGGTAATTAAAAAGAATGAGTACAGTGGGTATTCGGTAGTTTGAATATGTTTTACTAATTTAAAATAAAAAGTTAACCAATTTTAAATGAAGGTAATTTCTCTTGGTATTAAAAGTTTTCCTTTTAAATTAGTAAATGCATTTTATGATTATAAATTGTTAATCAAATGAATTTTAATATATATATATTTATTTTATCTACTTTTTTTATTAAATTGCCTACCTAATAACCACTGTACTGTCTAAGTGTTTCGAAATCGTTTCATCAGCCTTAAGACTTTCCCCAACCGTACAACGTGGCGTATGAGTAACATCGATTGGTCCGCAGATTTTTGTTATTTAGATTTCAGCGAGCTAGACTCGGAGCATGTTTAATTTCAAACAATACTATTCAGTTTTTTAATGTCCGGGCACGAAGATAAATAAATCTGAAATCAACAGATAAACCAATATATTATTTGTGTATGTAGATCGCTTGTAAACAAATACAAAATGCGGAGGCACACGAATGTTGCATAAACGGAAAAACAAGAAACAGAGGAAACATCAGCTTTCAAACAGGAATAAAGAAAAGGTGTTACCACGTGCATAAAAACGGGAGGAAATCATTTTTTATAAACTAACACAACTCACACTCACAAACATACACACACACATACAAATGTAGCTTTAGTTTACTAGGTGAATTCGTTTTTATATATTTGTAAATTGTTTTTAGGTAAATCGAATTATATATACACACATATATATATGAATCTCGATACATATACACGCATATATATGGAACAGATTATATATATATATTATGTCATACTGCATTATGATTATTACGATTATTATGATTCAACACAGAAACCAGAAAACTGGCAAGCATCAAATGGTGAAACCTAAAAATTTTCCGAATATCCAAGAAAAATGAGCTGGAAAAGTCGTTCAAGTCGCAGTTGAGGATGCAGAGATCGGAAAAGTGCAGAAGTAATTCAATTCATTCTTAACAATAAAATGTAATCTGAATTATACAAAAACGAAACAAAAAAAGAAAAACAACAGCAAACCAAAAGAGAAAAAACAAAAGAAAATCATAAAGAAAACATTTTGAAAAGCGTTTACTTACTTGGGAAAATCCATGGATAGCGGGTCATGGGCGAAGTCGTCATTCAATGCTCTTTATTATGCGATTTTCCAATTAATAATTGCATTAATTGGCCAACGGCATTGTTCGATGCTTCATTTTGCATTATTAATCCACATTAATAAAACGTCAATCAATTCGGATGGGAAGTGCAGGCTTCGGCCACCAAAGACAGGAAATGCGCTGAGAAATTCGCACGGAAGTGGACAGACAGCTCTATTATTTAGTAGGTATTTATCAACAATCTTCAATCCAAGGAAAACAAAAGCTGAGTCATTGAAGGCATTCCTGTCAAAACCAAAACGAAATGGCTTTATTTTGAGTTAAAGTTTTTTATTATAACTTTAAGCATCATTCGTTATTGCTCTGAAAAAAACTGCATGGGTTGCTATGGTGAGTTCCCAAGAGCTGGTGTTATTAAAATAATGTTAAATAAATTATTCAACAAATTATTAACAAGAACCAAAGCCAAATATACGACTTTCTTTTGCATAAAAACAATGTTAAAAGTAAATTAAAATTCGTGCCAAATAGAAAACAACTCTTGTAAAAAGTGCTGTTCCAAATATTCTATTAAAATATATATTTTTTTTTAGTCTTTTCTACTTCATTTTCTAACCATTTTTTAACCAACTTAATTTAATACCTTAACTATTTTCGGACTCCCTATCCATAATTTTCATACCCATACTATACTTTAACTTTAATAACTCATTGTTCTATAACTCCTAGTTAAACAATCTTAAAGCAACTGCCCTGGAATGGTAACACACATTTCCATGTTATTTGGGTCAATTGCGATCATGAGTCACTTGAGTCGCATCCCGCTGAGCAAACCAAAATGTCTCCAAATGGCCAAAACAGTGCGGTACATGGATTTGTGCTAAGTTCAGCAAACTTCTAGTGGCAATCCGAAATGCTCAATCGTCTAACTCGCTTTTGATGGTCATAAATTAATGCACCCCCTTTTCCCTCTCCTTCCAGACAACTAAAATCGCCAAGTCTCGGAGGCCATAAAAACGTGCTGCATACAAAAGTCGAGAATCTTGTAGTATAGTGTGTTTTGCTTTTCAATACGCAATAACAGTGGCAACAACCACAACGACACCTGCGTGCCCCGTTAAAGG